AACTTTATGAGTCCAAACAAACTTTATGAGTCCATAGGAATTTTATGAGTCCAATCACATTTTATTAGATTTTATTAAATAATACATTCATTAAATAATACATTAAAAATGAAAGGATTATGTTGTTAGACCTGTGGAGCATAGGCAAGGCGCTTGTGCAAAACCCCGCGCTTCGCGCGGGGTTTTGCGGCACGCGCCTTGCGGGAGTCAACGGTCGCTGGGTTCTGGGTCGGCAACATAAACCTATCCCTTTTATCATCACCAGCCTTGATCTGACGACCTATCCTCATAGCTCACAAAAATCTGATTGGACTCATGAGCTGTGATTGGAATCATAAACTGTAGTAAATCCACAATTTTTGCTTAGAATAATAAGGCATGTCGGATTTATAAAATTAGTTTGGACTCATAAACTTTTGTTTGGACTCATAAATTTTGATTGGACTCATAAAGTTTTGTTTGGACTCATAAAGTTCGATTGGACTCATAAAGTCAAGTAGAACCGAGAAGGCTACATAAATTAAATAGAACCCCCAAATACCAGTGCAAAGTCAATATACCACAAAATATCAAAGATGAATTTTACCTCAGATTTTAATTTTTACACCTAATGTTAGGCCGTAAAATTTATGTTAATTTATGGATCACTATTTTTTATGACCATTAGTTAAATTTAAATTTTCTAACCATTTTGTCCATCCTCAATTTCTCCTTTATCCACCACAACAGAAACTTCGCCAGGTTCGAGAATCCCCTTCAATGGTGGAGGCCTTTTTTGAATTCGATCGGGTCTAGTTGTTGTTGCCAAACGATTATTTTCTGTGCCCCAAGAAGCTAGTAAAAGTAGCCATGAATTTGAATCCTTAAAATTTTTTTTTTAATTCGTTATTTCTTCTAAAAATGTTTCGAGACATTTTTGGGGGTAATAGAGTACTCGTCAAGACACAATAATCAATTTTCAAATAGTCTGCTAATTTCCCAGTTATTATCATATGTAATTCACCTATAATGTAATTCCCCTCATGCTCGTAGCCAGGGGGTAGGGTGGATTAAGGGGGCAGGATATTTAATCCCAAAATTAATTTTCCTAAAAAACCTTAAAAGGAGAATGTAAAGTGCCAGGCGGGCTTTCATTCCACACAGAAGCTCTTCGAAATAATTGTTGTTTCCCAGTTGGAATTAAAAGTGAAATACATCTACTTGCTTGAGGTAATGAACAATCACTGCATCTTCGACTATTTGAATTTACATTTGCTGTAAAACTTGAAGAACGAACACGTCGAAGGGCTAAATGGTTGGAGGAATTGTTGTTTTCTTGTTTTTTTAATTCGTTTGAAATTTCTTTTTGATTTCGATGCCATCTCATAGAAAAATCTGTTCCAATCTAATAAAAAATTTGAAAAAAATTAATTGAGAGGAAAGGGATAAAAAATTATCTTTCATCAAATTAAAAAATATTAACCATGAATAATGAGTCAGCAGAAAAGCTAAAAGTAAGCAGAAAAATAAGAGAAAACGCCGTAAGAATAATATTCCAAAAATGATCAATGGGGAATGGAAGGAATTAAAAAAACTCTAAATCTTTTTATTGAAACAAGATAACCCGTCTTTCGCATTAAAAACCATTTCCATTTATTTCTGCTTATTTACCAATAGAAAAATAATTTTGGTTTTGTCGGAAGTAAATATTGTATATTCAAATTTAGATAACTTTTAAAAAACAATTTAAAAATTCCAAACCTTATTTTTAAAATCCAAAGCCAATTTAGTCAATCTCTTCGCCTCTTGATCCCCTCCCAAATTCCCACAATCCTGTATTTTAGGAAATCTTTGAGGAGAGCAACTTTCTCTCGGTCTTTTACACAAAAGTAGCTGAGTTTCAACATTTTCTAAATTCGAGAATTGTGCCTGTCCGGGCCTCAAAAATTGTTGTTTTTCGTTTAAACGGCGTAAAAGTGTTGTCCTTTTCCATCCAATAACTGATTGGCCGTTAATCTTTTTTTGAAAAAATTAAAAAAAAATTTTTTTAAAGAAAAAAAACCTCCAAAATTTCATCCCCAACATCAAATTTATCTGGAAATGCAGACGGGGAATTGTAATCAACTCGAGTTATTAAATTTATGCCTAAACAGGTTCTTCCAATCTCAAAACCCTTAAATTAAATTTTCTAAAAATTAATTTCAAAAAAACAATACCCAATCAGCAGAAGCAGGTCTTCTAATAGTTATTCTATCGAGAAATGCAGTATATAAAATACTTGGATCGGGCAAATGAATTATTTCGTTACAAACTTGTTGAATCATTTTTGCTCTCTAAAATATTAGAAAAAACTAGAATTTTAATATAGAACAAGGAGAAGGAGTCTTAAAGTTTTTTTGTTTTAGGAACATTTCTTATCGTTAGAGAATTTTAAAAAAATCAAAGGATGCACTAAAATAAAATGTGTTGACGAGTTAATTGGTAAAAAACATTCCACTTAGCAAATTGTCCGGGTCAACATCGAAAACTAAAATCCGATTAAGGCTTAAGCGTTTAACTTCGTCTGAGGAAATATTAAAAGAATATTTTGCATCCACTCGAGAATAGGGTTGTCGATTGTCTGGACCGAATCGAAGAACCGATGATTTTTCGGTTCGGTTCCGGATATCCGAAGAATTTCCAGGAACCGACAGCCTACTCGAGAATAATTAATTTGCTAGACATAAAAATGTTTTTTTTGCTAAATATCCTAACAAAACTCTTATAAATCCCGAGTTTAACAAACCTCAATCAACAATTGCGGAACAGAAAAGAATTTTGGATTGTTTGGATTATTAACACAATCAACCATTTCATCAACATATGTCGCCAAATTATTTCTCATTTTTGCATATTTTTTATTTCCAACAAAAGGATTTCTTTTTTTTAAATTTATTTTTTAAAATTTTTAAATAAACAAATTCAAACCTTTCCAACCAAAATATTAGCCTTATAGTATTTTCATATGTGCTAGCCAATGCACCCAAAACATTATTTAATACTTCTATGTGCATTGAAGCATTTGAAGAATTATTGATTATTGGAGTGGCTGTGGAGACTGCTTCGAGTATTTCGTTTGTACAAACCCTTCAGAAAAAATAAAAGATAAAATTTTTTGATCAAAAACAAGTAAATTTCCGAGATTGGGACAGAAAAATTTTTGAAAAGAAAAATTCAAGTTTTTAAACTCCTTTTTGCTCGATATATGTGATTCTGGCTAAATTATTTTAAAAAATTCATTTGGATTTAAAAAGATCCCTTTAATAAATTTGTAGGATTGTGATAAAACAAAAAATAATAGAGGAGCCGTAGCAAAATCGAAAAATAAATACTTAGGAAATTTGTAATACTGAACCGGACAGACAAACAAAGAAAAAGAAGTAAAATTATAGGGAATAAAATTGGGGAGGAAAAAAGGGGGTCTGTCCGGTTCAATATTACCGGAAATTTAAAAAGGGCAAACTAAACGGATCAAAAAATTTAAAAAAACCTCGTCTTCAAAGCCAATTTTTGTAAATTTTCATATTTAATTGAATAACTCTAAAATATATTTTTAAAAAATATAACAAAAAATTTCCTTACATAATACAAAAGTAAATTAATTGCAGAAATTATTTTTGCACGCGAAGCTTCTCTATTTACACCAATTCTCTTCAAAGTATCATTATCAACATTTAACAATTTACTTCCAGTAATATTGTGTGTAACAAAATGTCTGATATAGGGAGCCATTCCATCATCTACGCCTTTTTAAAAATTAAAAAAATTTTTGCGGATAAAATTTGCGGACAAAAAATAGGGGAAAATTGTCCGCAAAAGTTGTCCGCAAATTTAAAAAAATGATTTTTAATAAGCTCAGTTATAAAAATATATTTCTTTAAATTTTTACCATTTAACCATTCGGCAACTTGTTGAGCTGTCCAATTATCACATTGAAAAATAGCTGGTAAATTTGAGTTGTGGAAAGTAAACGAATAAATTTTTGTCATTTTTTCATTGTTTTTAATTAAACATAAATATACACATACACATTTTTCTAAATAAAAATTAAAACAAAAAGAAAGTAGAATTCAAGCAAAAAACTAGTTACCGGTAAAATCGATTTTCCCAGACCCGGATTTGCAACAACATGCCGGACCGGATTTCTTTGGGTTAATCCGGTCCGGTTTTAATCCGACTATTGCGAAAAACCCAGGATTTGGAACCCGGACTCAGGAAAAATCCGGCCGGATCCGGTCACCAAAAAAATTATATATCCCAAAGCTAATTTTAAAATCAGTTTGACGCTAGCCCATTTCATCACTAATTCTTTAATCGTCTACAGTATTTATTTACCACCAAATTCGAAATTTAAAAAATAATTTTTCATGAAATTCAACTTAAAACAAAACAAAATTTACAATAAATTAATATAAAATTTAAATTATTTCCTCCTTTAATTCTTTTTATTATTCTCTGGAAGCCATTTAATTTCATTTAATTCCCATTGCTTTAAAAAAGGGGGAAATTAATTCAAGATAAAAATTCTTTTCATTTTTTCTACCTGTGAATATTTTCCCCTAACACATTTTGACATTTTTGGTAATCTTTCAGGTTTTTCCTCTTTTCCATCAAAATTAAAAATATTTGCAGAAGGGAAGGAATTAGCTGTTTCTATTGGTTCATCCAAACATAAACTGCTGTTTATGTGGACAAAATGTCGGTTCTTTAAATGTTATTTAGATTTTAATTAAACTTCAACTCACTCGATATTCCCAACGCCAATATTCCATTTCTTAAATTAAAAGATTTTTTTGTAAAAATTCTTTTGTTTAAACACTTTTATCCTTAAATTCTGTTCATCTCAATGAATTGTAATATGTATAAGGAAGATTCCGAGAGAGAGAGAACGAGAGAGGGAAGGGATTCCAATAAATTAAATTTCATTTTACACTAAACTTCAAAAAGTATGAAGCATTCCTCCCTTCTCCTCAGATCCCTGTCCTAAGAAATCGAAGGAAGCATTACCCCCTCTCTAGATCATCTCTAAAATCCCTTCCCTCCTTTTTCCCCGTTTTTAACCCAACCCTTTATCATTTCTTCCCTTACTATGTCCACCACATTCCCTTAATTGAACTCTCCAAACATTATTATCTGTTTGTTCTTTAGCTGCACTTAAACATTGATGCTCGTCACTCATTAATCTAACACCTTCTGATTCTTTGGACGAAGCCAATACCCAAAACTACAAAATTGTTTAATGTCAACTACATAAACATTCCACCTGCCATATATCAAAACCTAGAGAGCATGTCCCCATTGTTAAACGATGTCTCTTCCCTGGATTTGAAGGTCGGCCAAAAAGACAAGAATTTGAGGATAGATGACGAAACTTTACTTTTTAAAAAATTTAAAGAATATTGAGTTAATTAATTTACACGGCCAATAAGTGCAGAACGTCCATTAGGTAAAAAATTGTCTTTCCACACATTTCGTAAATACTTATTAAAAATTGATAATTAGTTAAATATCTTTTATTTTATTAATCTACTTTGTTGTTATCCTCCAAGTTTCCCACTATTAATTAAGGTTCGAGGATGGTGATTAATCCCCAGGGCGGAGAACCCTACTATTAATCAGCCACTTTTAAGGGAGGGGGGGGGGGAGTTTACGGAATATCGATATATTCTTTTGGGTCATTTTAACATTTTTAATTATGGTTGGCCTCTAAAAGGGAAAGGAAAGTCTAAATCAGTATGAACCGGAAACCTGAATACTATAAAGCTCTTTCTTTATTAAGTTTATTTACCCAATTAAAATTTTTGCAGTTTAATTTTTTGCGTAATTCAATTCTTTCACTAACATCTAAGGAAGGAATTAGAGCAGAAGCCTCTAAAAAATTTTTTTCATTTTATTTTTTAAAAAATATAAACCCACGCGGTGATATTTTATAAAAGAAATGCCTTAAAAATATTTTTTTAATCTTTTCCTTCCATTTAATCTATTTCCTACCTCCACTGATCCATCCATACTTCACTCACTCTCGCCAAGTTTGAATTAAGTATTTTACCAGAACTTTTTTCTTTAGGAAAATCATGGGGAGAGGCATGTCGGAATACATGGCCAACCTTTTTAGGGGATTTTATTTTTCTTTAAATTTCAAAAAAAAAACGTGGGAGCAAGGCAGAATTTCTATAACACCTCCACATTGCCATACTCTAAAAGACATTTCCAAATTCTCTCCTCCCCAAATGTCCATATCCGGGTCATAAGCACCCAATTCTTGGAAAAATTGTTTGTCTATACTAAAGAGACCGCCAGCCATTGTTGGAGAACTTTTAAAAAATTAAAAGTAATTTTTTATTTTTAAATTACACAATGGCTGCTGTAGGGTCTTTTTGATGCCTTTGCTTGGCCATATCTGTTGGAACTGCATACCTTAAAAATTATTAATTCTTGCGTATTTCTGAAGCTTTAAACTCTCTCGCTGTTTTTCTATAATCCGGAAAATGTGTGAAGTATTATACATAGAGTAGTAGGGAAGAACAGAACTTTCCGGAAACGTAATATAATATATTCCGGAAAAATAGACATAGTTAAAAAGCATGTAATACGGAAACATATAATATAATCAACTTTCCGGAAACATAATACAATATATGTATATTCCGGAAAAATAAATATAAGAATGTAATTACGGAAACATATAATACATATAATCAACTTTCCGGAAACTCCTACCAAATATACATTCCGGAAAAATATATGCATACATATGTACATTCATTCCGGATTCTATTTAACAGAGTATAGAATTAGAGTGTTAGACACAATGTATTAGCTACTCTACTCACCATCTAAATTGCATATTCCAATTAAATCCTCCTCTAAATAATTCGATTCCTTTTTGATAAGCAAATGTCTGGTCATTTATAACATCTACATAAAACTATTAAATAATTACAAATTTATTACCAATAATAGGGCAAACAACCGCCTTTCTTTCTTTCCTTATTCTGGCCAGCAACGGTTCCAGCCATCCACGGGTACATTCACAATGGGACTAAAAAACTACAAATTTATAAAAAGAGTGATGATAAAAAGTTTCTTCACATCCAAAAAAGTAAGAACATTTCCTACAGCTTCTTGTGCCCCCATAAGCCTTGCTCGAATTAATCCAACCCTTTCTTTAGCCCTAATAAGTTTAATTCTGATAGGCAAAGTTTGTAAGAAGAGTTCCAATTCAGCCCCCAGAAATTCTAAAAAAGAAAAAAAAATATTTGTTTTTATTTTTTAAAAACTTCGATTTGAGAAGTCATCGACAAGAATTATCTCACGCAATAATGAATGAGGCGATCGGTTGATGACGCTGTAAAAATCAATAAATGTTTTGAATAAATTTTCCGGAAAATATACATATGTAAGTATTATTTTCAGAGGAATGGAAATCCAATTAAATACAAATATGTATCAGGGATGGATACGCTTCCGCATTCCGCCATCCGCAACATTCCGCTTTTTTTACCTCGCTTCCGCTTTTTAAAATTTAAAATTCTCCATCCCTGCTATGTCTGTTCAACAACTTCTTTTACTTTCAAAAATTATATGTATAATGTTCCGGAAATAAATTTAAGTTTACAACAGGGGCGAGCCAAAACTCGGGTCAGTAAAAATAGACGAAACGGCACATCCCTGTGACGAAATTTTATCCAGAGACAAAATTTATCCAACCTTGTTATTGTACGTGCCAGTGTGGAGAAGGCCTTTAAAAAACTTAACAGGTTTAAACTTTCATTTTCTATTTAACAGCCTCACCTCATTATGGAATACAATAATTATAGAAGTATCCGGTAATTTACTAATAGGAGGCAGCTTTTCAGCATAAGCCCGACATTGAATTCGACGAATATCCGGTAATGTTCGATTTATTGCTATCGAGTCACTGGCCAACAAGTTGAACTGGAAATTGTGTGTATATAAAACTTTCCGGAAAAGATCTTTTTAAGTGTTTGTCAATGTTGGAGGGAATTTTAAGGGAGAGGGAATGTATAGACAATCAATTTTTTAAAAATTTTCAATTGATTAATTTATTGTCAAAATCTCAAGTCATGGGGATTTTTTACACATGACTTCTCCCCCTGACTTTTACACATGTGAAAGAATCAATCAGTCATTCAATTTTTCAGGAGGGAGGGAGAGAGGGAGTGGAGGAGTCGAGACTCTCCCTCTCTATGGGGGAGATAAAGGGAGAGATGCTGCCTTCATTAATTTATTCATTTTTTTTCAATTTTAAATTTTTAAAAGAAAAATTTCAAAAGAAAAAATTTAAAGAAAAAATTTTAAAAAATCCTTCTATAATTATGATTCTTCATAAAGTAATTATTTTATTACTTTTTATGATTGATATCCAAGTGATTAATTCAAAGTTAATTAACAGAAAGAAACAAAACGTTATGCAAGAACAACATAATGGTATTTAAAAGATTTTAAAATATTTTTTGTGGAGAATTTAAAGACGAGGGAAAATCTATTCTTTTTTAATAGGGTTGGTCCATCGGGGAGGAATATTTCAGGAATGTCGGAGAATAGCATGTCAGTTATTGGCAAATGGCCTACAAATCATCGTTAGGCGGGGTTAGGGAGTCGAAGACAACCCCCTACTTTTTAATAATGAGAATTTTGATTGAAATGTTTGTCAAGGAACTCCTTCCCTTAAGAAAAATAAAAACAAGGGTATTATTATCTTTACAATGTCTCATTTAATTTAATCCAAAAAAATTTGGGAGGAATATCCAAAAATCGATATAACCTTTCAAACACTTAAAATAAAATTTAGTGATAACTTTGGATAGTGATGACATTAATGACATTAACGGTAGAGAAATTAAAAAATGGATAGGCGAACAAGAAAAACAATATAAAGACCTTTTTACAAATAAAAATTTTGCTCACAAATATTTAAATGCTAAAAATTTGAAAGATATAAAGCAGTCACTATCAGATATATTAGACGAGAATATTTTTGGGTTTTTTGTAAATGCTGAAAAATTGTCAATTTTTTCTGTATGTTTGGATAATTTATATCAAAGAAAGGTACATATAAATATTTATGTGTATTACAAATATATCAACTATTTATGTTAATTTTTTCGAGTACGAATTAGGGTGCGGGATTCGAAACAGAAAAAATGAACACAAATTTGAACTCAGCACACTCGATTACTTACTGGCAAACAAAAAAATATCGAAAAAGCACACCAGCTTAACCTTTACCATCCCTTCTTTTAATTTGTCTTCCAATGTCCCTTTAAAGAGATTATTTCTAAAAAAAGTATCTGAATCGAAAAAGTAGAATATGAACTCCGTGGGTCCAAAAGATTTAGTCTAATAAAATTTGAAAAATTGAAAAAAAAATTTTAGGAAGAAGAGTTGGATAATGATTTGGACAAAGATTTGATGTCTAAAATAAAAAGTAAATTAGATAATTTAAAAAAACATTCTTTCGGCATGATTCTTTTTGTAACCGGAGTTTGTAAAGTTTTTTCAATTTATTTAAATGAAAAAGAAAAATTTAAATTTAAAATATTCAATGAAAATTGTGAAAAAGAAATACTTCCAAAAATGGAAAAAATATTTGATGAGTATGAAATTAAATTAGAGCCTTACGAAATTGAAAAAAATGGAAAAATTTTATTTTATAAAGATAATATTAATTTGGGATATAGTCTTTATGATTTAAATAAAATTGAGGGAATTTTTAAAAAAGAGGATAAAAAAGTGGTTAGTTTAATTATTTTAATTTGAAATTCAAAATTAATTTTAATAAAATTTTAGAACAAAGAGGAAGGAAAAGACAACAAGCGCAAAGCAGATTAGTAAAAGAGGAAATGTACATATTTACATACTATGTAAAAATGTTAAAAGAAAATGTAAAAAAAAGAAATTTTTAAAGAAGTTAACACGTGTTTCAGAACAGTCAGAGGTGTCGGAAATCAGAAAAGCCGAAAATCGGAATTGACTCAATAGTCGGAAATCGGAAATCAAAATTTTTTTCGGAAATCGGAAGGAAAAAACGCCGGAAACCAGAATTCCAACCCACCTCTGCTCTCGTTTAGGGTTGTCAGTTTAAAACCAAACAGAAAAACCTAAGATTTTAGGTTCTGTTTTAGTTACCCGAAGAATTTGGTGTAACTGACAACCCTCCTTCTACCGTTGTAAATAAGACTAAAAGGGTATTTTGTTCATATCCCCCGCTTATTTGAGTTAAAAATTAATTTTCCTTGTATAATCCTCAAGCATTCTAAGTAAAATTTAAGTTAAATTAGCAAAAATTAGGAAAGAAAATAGGCGGCAGTGGCAACGATCAAGTCTTATAAAAAGAAATTTGACATTCTGAGGCGAAAAAGAAAAAGGAAAATTAATCTGAGACACAAATAGGGGGAGGGGGGACATGAACAAAATACCGACTATTGATACAAAATTTGATTTATTTATTGAATCCTATTTTTATTTGATTGGAAATGTATTTATTTATTTGAAGAAGTAAAAAAAGTTTTTTGGGGGAAATTTTTGTAAAGTTTAGTACCTGATTAATACCAAAAGTATGTTCTGCTCTTTTCTCCTCTTCCGGACTCAATTCCACAGGGTGTCCATTTTGACCCGCTTCGGGAATTGGCGAATAATTATTTTTATTTAATTCGTCTATAAATATTTTCAAGATTTATAGTCTCAAAAAACCTTCAGTTAAGTTAGCCCTTCTCTCTGCCGGCAAATTCCCATTGAAGTGCCCAACCAAAAGTTGAACTCCCCTTCCAGCATAAGAATCTGGGTCTACTGTTAAAAGAGAGGAGGAAGAGGATTTTGTTAAGAAAACGGGGCCGAGTAACTTTGAAAGGGGAATTAAAAATTGTTTTTATGTTCACACACTTACAGCTTCTTGTGCCAACAAAATTAACAAAGTTAGCAATACCCAACAAAGCAAAAATGCCAAAATTCCAATCACCCAAAGCAGGATAACCCCTCTCCGACGATAATTCTTTCTTAACCATTTTAAATTTAATAAGAAGGGGAAAGTGTCGTCGATTCCCATTTAATTTTGGGGGGAAAATGTGTTTCTAGAAAGGAAGAGGAGAAGAGAAGTTTTGGTGGTTGATGGGTGGCCTTGTATGTATGTGAATGAAAGAATACCTCCACTAACTATCTGCCCTGAAGCTGGGAGAGAGATGAAAAAGCCGAAAAGAGAAGAAAGACTATGCATGCGCAGTCCGGCGATTTATTTTTAAAGATCAATCGATCATAACCCGGTTGGTGAGTGCCGTTGTTGTTTTTATTTTTCGCCCCAATAAAAGTTTTTTTCATGTACATACAAAGAAAATAATTACCTAAATTAATTCTGAAACTTGTATCCTGAATTTAAAATATACCGTATTATCTCTAATAGAATGGCCGGCCATTCTGTTTTTCGATCATCCTCTAGGGGGCCATTCTATTAGAGAGGGCCATTCAAATGGAAAGGGTCATTCTTTTAGAGATATACGGTAGTATATTTCCTGAAGGAATATATTTCTAGCAAGTCTATTTTGTATTTTCAAGAAGGTATATTTAAAGTTTAATTTATACATGTATACAATTTTAAATTAAAAATACAATAAAAATAAGATCATTAATTAATTAAACACCCTGAGTAAAAAATTAAAAATTCAAAAATATTTTCAAATTCAAAAACTGACAGCAGCCAAAGGGGATTCTTTTCTTGTCAGTAACACACAACTTTGGTGTCTTTCCATTTCACAACTACTCGGTCTTTCTCTTAAAATACTGCTAGAAATTTTTGTTGTGCCCCTTCTGTTCATTGACCTTTGACTGTCTGTTCTGAAAATTTAATTTTATATTTCCGGAAAGTATTTTCTAAAGCCTTTTTACCTAGTTACTAAAGCATCCCTCACTCTCCTCACCAACTGACTTCCGTTCATTCTTCTCTGCATTGACCGCCTCCATTGATAATGGGCTGAACGGATAGGGCGATTAAATAAAGTGAAAATTGCCGGGTATGCCGCACAGCTGATATATGGCATTAAATGTACATAATACATGACAATTACAGCTAAAATTAAAAAAATGTTAAAAATGGGGGGGGGGGGGGAAGGATATCCGGAAAAACTTCCAATAAACTTACTCTGTTTAGTCATTCTCAAATGAAAAAGTCTTTGGGCATACATTCCTATCCAATAAGGTGTCCAACAGACTAAATAGACCATTGCTAACACAACAACGGTAACCACAACTCTTCGAATAACGGCAACGGAAGGTGCAGGAAAACTGTTTGGAATACCCCCACTTCCCGTAATTCCAGATTTAATAGAAATTGGTTGATGACTAGAAATGAAGATAAAATTTAGATAATTTATTTGGGTAGATAACCTTTGGGTAGATAAAGATGAGGATGGATTTTGGCTCAAAAGTTCTTTTCTCCTCCAAAGGAAGAAAGGAACGGATGCATACCAAAAGAGAAAGCCGGCAAAAGGAATGCAGTAACTAAAATAATAAAAAAAATTAAGTGTGTTAATGTGGGTGTTAGAGTGCGGCATGGAGGGATTCTGTACGGGATTTTGTGAGATCCCGTCCCGGAATCTTACGAGATTAATCCCGCTGGATCCCTCCGGTTCGATCTTTTTAAATTTAATCCATTTACGGGTCCCGTGAGTGCGATTTTGTCGCAATCTAGTGAGTATAATGATCCGGAAAGTTGCATTTTACTTTTTCAAGACTCACCTAATTATAAATTTCACGGAAAGTTATTATACAAATGTCAACCTATTTTTCCGAAAGGTTTATTTTAATTTAATATACTATAAACCTTTCCGGAAAGTTTATTTTTATTTTATTTTAACCCACCTAGTTATACTGACTACAATATTAAAAAGCAATTCAACATTTGGCGGAGGTAAAAAGGCACATTTACGAACAAACCTAAAAAAATTAAATTTTAAATAAAATATAAAATCCTCACAGTTCTTGTCGTTTATGTCTATCAATACGTACAACAATTTCTGTGACCTATAAAAAATATTTTTAAATTAATTTTCTAATTAATTACAAAAATTACTTGAGAGTAAACAAGAAGAGGCCAAAGAAGACACAAAACAATTGCCAAAGCAACCATAACTTGAATAAAAGCTGTTTTAACACCGCTATTATTATTTGTTGTTTGACGTAAACGGCCTTTATCCAAACATATTATTGAATAACAAGTACGAGAAATTAACAAAACAATTGCTGGGGCAGAAAATTTATTTAGGGAATCAAAAAGTAAATAGGCTCTGCAGCCAGCTAGTCCAAAACGCCAAGTTCCGTTAAGTATTTCCAAATTTAGAAGAACCATTCCTGGGGAAAATTGAGGGAAATAAGAAGAAAAAATTATTTGATATATTTTTCTAGGGTGTGCGCAAAAACGTATAGAACGCCAAGTTTCCGGAAAAATACATACCTATGTACTTACCAGCTTGCAGTAAAATAAACTTGTCAGAGAAAGACTTAAAACTTATTTGAAAATTGAAGAATTTCCGGAAAGTTTATTTAAACTTGAGTTGTATACCGAACGCTCGTAGGCGGGTATACGGGGCTAACAAAATTTTCAAAAAAAAATGATAAAAAAATTAAAATTTTCTGGCTAAAATTTTTTCTCTCTAAAGAAAAATAAAAAATAATTTACCACACATTGTAGCCAAATCAGATACACAAAGTGCAAGAATATGGAAAAGAATAGACTTTGGAACTCGTACATGGCCTAACCAAAGCAAAGGCGCCACAACAAAAAATACCCAAGAATTTGCCATAAATCCAATTAAATTACAAACTAAATAGGTTATAGCCACAAATTGCCGGAAACCCTTTTTAAAAAATTAATTTAATTTTTAAATTAATAATTTTAACAACTTTAAGAGGCATAAGTAGTTCAGTACTAGTAAAATTTCTATGTAAGAATTCTGAAGTCATTAATATTTTAGCTTGTTCTTCCATTATTTAGACTATAAAAAGTTAAAATATAGTATTAGAGATATTAACAGAAGGAAAGAAAAAATAATGCAGTATACTCTAATTAATTTTAAAACTTTCCGGAAATATAAATTTAATATAACTTTTCCGGAAAGGTTATAGATTTTCCGGAAATAAATATATTTCAAACTTTAATGAGAAATTATTTTACGGAAATAGTTTCCGGAAAAATAAATTTATACTAGTATATTTTCCGGAAAGTATTATATTTTCCGGATTTTATGTTATACCTAATAATATAAAACTTTCCGGAAAAAGTATAATTTTCAGTAATTTAATTATTATCGCACATTTAAAGAAAAATATGTTTTACAAATACAAATTTTTCAAGTAAAAAATAATAAACTTTATAAAAATGAAATTGAGCTAAATTTGAAACTGAGTTAAATAGAAATTATTGTGTAAATAAAAAATATAAAATAAATTTAATTATTACGTATATAGACAGAACTTTTTTTTGAATTATGAGAATTTTTAATTTTATATTATTACATAAATTGCTATTAATTGAGTAAGCGACTAAGTTATCTTTTTGTATAGACTAGTAACTTTTTTTTATAAATTTTAAGAGATAATTTTTTGTAAAGTTTATCCACTTTAGACATCTCATTAAATAAAAATAGGTATTTAGGTATTTTTAAAGTGGGTGTTCCCCCATTTTATGAATATCAAAGAAGTCTATTTCGACCTTCGTACCCCCCCCCCTCTTTTCTTTATTTTGACCCTAAAAACATAATAAATTATCCAGCACTTTTTAAAATGGCCAACCCTCCATAGGATAAAAAATAAAAAAATTCTTAATTCAAAAGTATAAACTTTCAAAATAAAATTTATTTCCAATTAAAACAATTTCTCTAAATTCTTCAAAAAAATCTTTTTATTAAAATAAAATAAATTTCTTTCCTTAGAAAAAAATTATTTCCATCTGTCTTCTGGTTATTGGTCTTTTTAATTTAATTTATTTTATTTATTTTAGAAGTAAAAACCAATTAGTATATGCAAATAAAATTAATATAAGGAAATGCAATATGGAAATAAAAATTCTTTTTTTTTATTTTATTTTTTCTGTGTGGGCTATTCGACGCCTTTTTTATATTTTTTATTTAATTAAAAAATAAAAGAAAAAAATAATTTAGAGGTGATAAAGAATTTAAATTTATTTTAAACGAATTTTGGAACCTCTAATGTGATTAGCCTGAATTTGTTTGGTTTAGAGATTAAGATTTTTGAAAAGCCTGGACCTGTTCCTGAACTTTGGAGTTTGATTTATTGGCCTGGACTGGATCCTGGCCTGCAGTCCAGGAAAAACCCAGGCCCATGAAAAACCCCCAGGAAGGTCAAAAAATGACTGGGCCTGGACTCTGGGTACAGAAAAATCCCACGCCTTGGTCCAGGTCCAGTCCGATCTCTAGTTGGTTATCTTTGGGTAGTTAATGTTTTTGAGCAGGGTTTTCGGTGCTTGAAAATCTTCGGATATTTGGGAACAGAATCGAAGAACGGAACTGGAAATCCTCAACTTTTTAGTTCAATTCCAAACCGATAACCATGTTTTATACATAGTATCAGATCTGAACCTGGAGAATTTTGAATTTTAAAAGGGCGGAAGCGGAAGAAGGTGGAATAAAATAAAAAAGCAGCTGAAGGAAGGCGGAAGCGGAAGTAAATCCAGCCTTGCTCTGAACACAGTTGTCAATTTTTGAATTAATTTTTTTCGCTCGTGTCCAGCTTTGTATGGAATTAAAAAATATAAATAAATAAAAGTAAACTTAAACGACAAACTAAAAACTCCTTTCAATCCCCTTAGTAACCAAACAAAAAAATATATTAAATAAAAATATTTCCGTATTATTCATTAAAAGAAAAAAGGGGAAGGTCAGATAAAAGAAATAAAATAAAATTTAAACATTTATTTACCTTTATTTATATTAAAAATATTTTTTTAATTAAAAAATTAAATGACGTTTAAATGAGCTTATGAATCCGTACAAAGTTTTTGAGAGATTTTGTGCTCTTTGCCATTTTATACTAATTAACTAAGGAAGTCTTATAAAATTTCTGAGACAAATCTGTATATATTATTTTTAAATTATTTAATTAAGTAGTTGCGTAATTAAAATACATGTTAAAAATAATAGAAAATTTCAGAGAACACACAAATAGGTAGGTCATCTTTAAAAAACAAAAATCATAGAAAAAGGATATTGAAGCAATTTTTTAGAAAACTTTTGAATTTAAGAATATTTTGGAAAATTTATTAATTATTTAAATTTACCCCTAATTTCAATCAAAAAAATTTTTTCAATTTATTTTATTTTCATCAGTCGAACCCTGATTTTTACATAAATTTTTGGAGATGAAAAAATTCAGGGCAATGGATACAGATACAGATAATTTCAAAGTGACGCGCATATCCGCCTGTATCCGCTGAAATATATCTGGATACGGATACCTAAATCCATGTCCATTATCAAGTCTGAAAAAATCTAATTTTATAATGAGAGATGTTTAATATTGACTAAAAAATGAGGGTTGATTGTAGAATGTTATACACCTTCTTAATTTGTTCTTACCTAGAATCCGGAAAATTCCGGAAAATAAAAAAGGAGATTAGAATAGCTGTGTTTTGTGTCGTGATTTATTTGCATTATAAATTTATTAAAAATATGACGTTAATAAAAATATTTTTTTATTAAAAATGCCAAATCAAGAATCTTTTAAATCCAAAAAAATTATGGACAAAAATGGAAATTACTATAAAGTCATTATTAAATAGCAAAATGCGTACACTTTAAATATAAAAATAAAAATAGCTTTATTAAAAAATACTTTTGGGAAGACTTTTAAAGTTAAAAAAGGAAAAAAGGAAAAAAAGGAAAAAATTCTACATAACTACTACTACTAAAAAACATTTAATGGCCAAATAAAAACTTCCTTTTAATTGTAATTATGGAAAAAATGGAAGAAATAATTAGATAAAAAAATAAAAGAACGAACATTTCTGTTAAAAAATAAGTTGGGAATATTTGGGGGAAGGGAGGGGGGGATAATTGGAAAGGAATAAATTGGAGGGAGGAATGGGTGAGGGAGGAAGGAGAGGATAAATTAAGAGGGGAGGTTGAAAAGAAGGTTAAATATTTCGAAGAAGGGTGTTTCTTAGGAAAAAAGTTTTATCGTAAATGCTCTAATTAAAGACCAGTCTCTAGTAGAAGCCCATATCTAACCCTCATTTTTACTCGAATCCGGAAAATTCCGGAAAATAAAAAATAAAGGAGAGTAGAATAACTGTATAGACCCAGGGCCCGTAGAATAAGAAGGTGGTTAGGTGACGATGGAACCACAAGGTCATTGTAAACCGGTAGAATAAGAAAACCACGTGGTTAACCACCGTCGTAAGGTCACCTAACCAGCAACCGAGTTCTTATTCTACGGGCCCAGGGCTTTAATTAGAGCATTTACGGTATATAAAATTAATTTTCTATTTAAATATTCTAAATTTTCAAGCCTTTACTATGTACTCTTTACTCATTTATCGTCATTTAAATTGCTTCTTTTAAAAATTAAAAAAATTTTTAATTGCCTATCTATACCTTTAAAGTAAATTTATTTAAATTAGCACTTTAACTTTAAACAAAGATTTTCTTTAAAGAAAAAAAGGAAATGCCCTTTCCTTTCCTTTATCTACGTTAACCACTAACAACAATTCCCTCCCCTTTTCCTTTTCTTTACACATTTCATCGAACCATAAAATCTCCCAAGGGATAAACAAAAAAATGCTAATTTACGTTTTTAAAGGGGGAAAAGACATCGTTTTTGAAATGCAAAGGAGAGGGGGTTGTCGGAAAAAGAAAAAAGCTGTCGGGAAGTCGAAACCTGCAGAGATGCCGAAAATCGGAAGTAAAGACGGAAGGCGGAAATTGAAAGAAAATTCAAAAATTTTCCCATACAGCACTAGAAATTGAAATTTTGGATTAATTATTTTCAAATGTGAAAGTACAATGTATTAGTGTAGAAGGTCAAAAATTGTTTTATTAGGTGGTCGGGATTTTTCGAAGGAGAAATAGGTGAAATCAGAATAACGATAGTAACTTGTTGGAATATTTTTGGCCCTTGTCATTCTTGGTAACAACCTCTTTAACTCGATGAGAGGAATATCGTTTAATACAATTAAAAAATCCGGAAATCTTGAAGTAAGTTATGGCTTTGCGCCTACTTGGGATTTGCGCCTACTACGCTCTAATTCAATCTCATTAAAAAATCTTTTATTTGCTCCAAAGCCGCAGCGAAAACTTAAAAAGAATTCTAATAAAATTAACTAAAAAATGATAATTTTGAAAAATCGAAACCCCGCAAAAAATTTTTTGGATGTTTTCTTTCAATAAAAAACATATACTATTCATTATATTTAAATTTCAAACTTATTAAATCACAAAAAAAAATAATTTTTTGCGTTTCAACTTTTTGGGGCACACCCTCAAAATTATTTAAATGCCTGCCAACAATCTTAAAGGTGAAAAAATGCCAATAAAAAGTACAAAAAGTTTTAGATTTACGTGAGTCACATGCCGTAAACGAAAGATTATATTCCCATCATTTAAAATAAATTTTGCCCTTTAAATACGTATTTAAAAATAAAAAAAAATTGTTTACAACACTAAAAGGTTAATTAATAAATTTTGAGAAAATTAAAAAGAAAAAAATTTTTTTTCAAAAAATTTATTCACAAAAAAAAGTTTTTCTTAGAAATAAATACGTGATAATAAAATAAATTTTATTTTTTATTTTTGAAAAAAATGTTAAAGTAACGCTATTTTGTTTTCTTAAAAATTTAGCTTTTTTATAAGAAAATTTAAAAGAAAATACGCAATATATTGTTGAGCTAATTATTTAAAATTCTAGAGGTTTTACGAAACAACCTGTTACCCCCTTAAATATTTTTAGACGGGAATAAATAATTTTTTAAACAAAAAATATTAAAATGTGTTATATTTTGGTAAACCAGACTTTTTTAAATTTAAAAAAAAAAGAAAAAAATATAAACAGACATTTTATAATTTATTAATATTTAAATATTTAATGTAAATTTTGGGCAATTTAAAAATCGAAATTATACAAAAAATATCAAACATTTGTGAGAATAAAAAAAAGAAAAATATTTTAAATTACACGTTTGCCCTGTGTCGTCTTCTAAAAGTCTCCTCTAATAATTGAAATTATTACTTCAGCCCAATTATTACCAGAAAAATTACATATTACCGCCCTATAAAATTCATTTTATGGAAGTAATTAAATTGTAAGGATCCGAAAATTATTTATTTGAATTACTGAAGTTTTAATATGTGTTAAAATGAAAATTAAAAAAATTTTTAGATTCAGCCCGGAAAGAAATAAATTCAGAAAGATAACTAAATGAAATTTATGGTCACTGAGTTTTTAATAATAACTTAAAAACAAAAATAAACTTTTATTTCGAAGTGAACTATTAAAGTAGGGTTGTACCCCGAACGCCCGGGGGCGGGTATGCGGGGTACAGGGTTTCCGAATTGTTTCGGGGCGGGGTTCGGGTCGGGGAAAATCGTAGAAAAATCGTTCGGGAACGGGGTTGGGATACAACTCTATATTAAAGGTAAATATTTCCAAATTTTATTATCCTCACAAAAAAATTTAAAAAAATCTAAAAATTGTCTAGACAAAAATATAAGGAAAGAAAGAAGTGTGTAAAATATAATTTCACAAATATATGACACAAATTTAATTTTCAAAGGAGCAATTCAAAAAATTTAACTAAAAAATTTAAATTGTTTTTATTGTTTACTTGCACTTTTTAACTTTAAAATGTGCTTGGGGAAATTGAAAGTTTATATAATGGCCACACAAGGAGAGAAAAACTGTTCCCCCCCTTATTTAGTAGAATTTTAAAAGAAGTTTCCGTTAAAATATAACAATTATTTTCTCGAATAATTAGCTTGGAAAGAGAAATTAAAGGAAAGAAAAAAATAAAAAAAAGTTTTAGGTAAATAAAACTACTAAAAATCCATCGAGTTATTAAATGAATGTCCCAATCCTTTTTTGATCTGGTATTTATTCACCCCCCTCCTACCCCCTAATTATTTTTCCTCTATCTGACTATACTTTCATTTCAAAAAATTCCAAACTTTTTTTCCTCAATATGCCCTCTTTAACGGAAAAAGATATCACCTAATAGGCAATACCATTTCTTTTTATCACCTGATAGAATTACTTTTATCCAAACAGGGCTAAAGACTAACAATAAGTAAATCACCATTTTATTTTACAGAAAAACAGTTTCCTTGTCACTCTTGTCACTAATAATTTAAAACAAAAAAATGAGTAAAATGAGAATTTGGAAATTTTGAAAAATAAATTTGAAACAAAAATTCTTCCAATTTTTACAAAAACATTTTTTTCTTTGGGAAGTGTTTTTCTTTTTTTAGATTCTTTTAATTTTTAAAAAAAACCCGTTTTGAGTGTTTTTCAAGCCTGAATTTTATTATTATTAAATAAAGGTAATATAGAAGATGCTGTTGATGTTGAAGGTTGTTGTAAAGCTAAAAGATATTCTTTTTCTTCTTTTTCTGTTAATTCTTCTTTATTTTTATTAAATTCTGTTAAATTTACATAAATAATTTGTTGCTCTTCTTCTTCTTCTAAAATTTCATCTACTAAAGGAAATTCCGGAAGAGAATGAAAAGAAGCTGAACGGCGAAGATTTGAATTATTTGATGGATGGTGGGAAGAAGACCAAAATGTTGGGGGAGGTTGGTCTTCACCCAATACTTCTCTAATTGCTGCTTCCTAAAAGAGAAAGAAAGATTAATTTTTTAAAGAGAAAAATGTTTTTTAAAAAGGGGTGGGGGCTAACTCAAGGAATACCAACTCAAGGAACGGACAAATCAAGGAAAAGGCAGGTCGAGGAAATCTGTTGAATTCTAAATTTCTTTAAATATACTTATAAATATTGTGGATAATTGGAAGCAAAAAAAGAAATTCTCAGAAAAAATTTTTTAATTTGCAACCAAATATTAATGGACAATTAATTTTTTAATTTCAATTTAATTCCAAAATTAATAGGATGGGAATTGGGATAAAACCATCATGGGAAGGGACTGTTTACAGAGCACAACTGCTGTGCCAATTCAACCCGCGATAGGTTATTTTTTAATTTTTTTTCTGCAAATGCGGACAAAAGAGAGACAAAAAACAAAGTAATCGTCTTGTTAGCACATTCAGAATACCCTCCACGAAATATAGTGAGGGAAACACGTAGTAATAACGGGTACAGCCCAAGTAGGCGCGCGGCCAAGTAGGCGCAAAGCCATAACTTGCTTCAAGATTTCCAAATCTTTCAAAATTTAGTATTAAACGATTCCTCTCATCGAGCTAAAGAGATTGGTACCAAAATTGCTGAGGTCAAGAAATTTTGCAGCTAGTTATGGCTTTGCGCCTACCTGGCCGCGCGCCTACTTGGGCGTGTCCCAGTAATAACTGCTAGAAGGACAAAGGGTTCAACTTCTTTCTAGTGGTTATTAAAATTTCTACCTATTAAAATTTCCATTATTTACTAAAAATTTCCCTCATTTTCTTTTACCTTTCTACTAATAATGTCAACATTAGTTTCAGTTCCAATAGCCTCCAACAATTTATTTACATAACGTTGTTTTACTTTGTATTGATTTAATATTTTTAAACGTTGTTCTAAAGTAAAGGTTCTTACTGCATTTACACTCTTTTCATAACTTTCCCATAAATGTTCAACTCTTTTATGGCCAAATTCACGAAGACGAGATATCTAAAGAAATTTAAATTGTTTAAGATAGGGTTGTCGGTTCCTGAAACTTCTTCGGATACCGAACCAAAGAACCTAACCTAAATCGGTTCGGTCCAGAATCGACAACCCTAGTTTAAAATAAATTTGCAGACAAGTATTTTTAAACGATGATTAGCGAAATAAAATTATCGAGGAGAGAGAATAAAATGAATGAGAATCGGTAAAGTTAGGAATGTGAATTTAAAGTATTTTCTAACTTACAAGGGAACCTTCCAAAATGGCAGTAAAAATTTTTAAATAAAAATTATATCGTGTAGAGCATGTCGATAACCTATTACAAATTTTTGGCTCCGACCCCCAAATCGAAAAGTTATAGGGCTTCAAAGTCTTCGACCTTTGGAGCGGTCGAGTCTGTTTCTAACAATAAAAAGTACTCGGAAATTGATAATCGAAAAGTTTAAAATTACAAATAGAAATCAAAAAATTCGCAAAACACGAAATTTCGAAACCAGTTTTTAATTTAAAATTTAAAGAACCTGTTGATAATACCCATCCAAGTGTTGTTGAACATTTTCCTTTTGGGCTTGTCTATAATCTCGAAAACGCTCGGAAGACTCCAAATAAGAGTTACGAATAGTTTCAACTTGAGTGTGATAATTTTCTCGAAAAGTTGACATTCTCCGACTTGAAATTAAAAAAACAAAAATTTTCTTTAAAAATTAAAAATATACTTGTAGCCTTCATGTAACGATTCCATATGTTTTTGTCTATATTTTTCCATAGCAACAAGCATTGCCCGGACACGGCTCAAACGTTCTACAATAATAAAAATTTTAAAAATCTTAAGATATATTAGAAAAGAAAAGGGAAACTCCAAAAGACCTCCTCCGGTACCTTATAGAGATCGAGATTTTTGAAAAATCTGGACCTGTTCTGGACTCTGGAGTTTCATTTCTTGGCCTGGACTGGATCCTGGGGCTGTAGTCCAGGAAAAACCTAGGAAGGTAAAAAAATGCCTGGACCTGAACTCTTGGTACAGGAAAAACCCAGGCCTTGGTACAGCTCGATTTCTAGTACCTTCTTAAATTTTACCAGGAGAAAATAACATAGAAAGCTCTGACATGTTACAAGATGTAACAAAAATTAGCCTAGATTTTTTAAGAACATTTAAAAAATAAAAAGTCCAAAAAATTCAAGCAAAAGATATAAATAAAAAAATTAATTTAATAATTTAAAAAAATAAACAAATTAAATTTATTTATTAATTAGAAGATAAAAAGAAAGACATGAAATGAGGTAAAAATAAATTGAATAATTATAAGTATTAATTTTATTAGGAGATTAAAGATGGATGAGACCAAGAAAAAAATCCAATCCTTAATAAGTTAATCAAAAGAATTATAAGACTTTTCTTTTGCCCCTTTCTGTTTAAGCCCACTTCTTTCCAAAGACCGGACACGATTTAAACGTTCTAAAAAAGTCAAATTCCTAATAAGCAAAAAAGTTATTTTCGGATTTTGGAGCTAGAGAAAAACCACAACCCCTTTAATTTAATATCCCCTTTCAAAGTCAAGTTTTAAAAATTGAAAAGATCTTTGTCCCTGCTACTATGTAATAAAAAGCAAGCAGTACATAGAAAAAAAACAGACTTAAAGAGTGTAGAAAATATTTAAGTAAATATAATTGAAAATAAGCAGAAAAAATTCTAAAAAATCAAAAAACTGATAAATTATCGATCCCAACCTCAAATTTTAAAAAATAGAAAAAATAGAGTCTTGTTTCCCCACAACTTTTTAAATAATTTAAACCCAAACCTGTCCTTTTAATCCAACTCAAAACACTCCAACGAATCAAAATCCAAAAAATATTTAAAAGAAAAGAAGCAACACAGAAAATCAAAGCAAATATACACGAACCATAAAAAAGTGAAAAAGGTTCGGGTGCGTACCAAAAAGAAAAGTCTAGACGAAGAAGGACTGAATCTCTTGTTTGGTTTCCATTTAAAAATTTTAAAAGACATTCATATCTTTTTTTTAAAAAATTAAAGTTAAGTCAAAATCATACAAAATTAAAGAAAACCTCTCAACAAGTTCCCTACGAACATTGTGAATTATTAAACTTCCATTTTCTGCTATTTGGTAAGCTCCATCCTTTGTCCAGTTTGTATGTACATGTCTAAAAATAAATTAGTTAAGGTCGTATCAAGAAATAAAAAAACGATTTTAGGATTTAAAATTTGCTAAGAGAAAATTGCTAATAAAAATATTTCACCCCGAAATGGATGAAAATGGGAGAAATATTGGAAGACGATGATCGAATTTTTTCGTTTATAATCTCCAGAAATCCTCAAATTTTTCACTTGCACCACTAAAAGTACAAAAGCCAAAATTTAGGCGTACATTGATTTTAGACGCCCTAGATCTAAGTCCTGTCTGAGCGCTTGTGATGTGTGCAAAGAGCCTACGAGAATTCAAGGACCGGATAGAAACGGACTAAACCTTAAGGGGAACAGAGTGTCGGAAAATTTTTATTCTTTAAAATAAAAACCTTGAAGTAGCATTAAAAGCTCCAATATAAACTCCACCAATTCGTTTATACCACCATTCAATTAATTCCAGACCCGTTCCATTTGAAGAATTACAAGGAAGAAGTGCATCTTCGAGAAGTCTTTGCCTAACTATTTTGGGTATATTATTTGTTGTTGCTGTTAAATTTCTCTTCTCATTTTGTTGGGAAAATACAAAAACATCCAAAAATAGTAGAGACATGACCATATTTAGATAACCACCAAACATTGAACTAAAAAATTTTAGAGAAGGAATGCAATAAAATAGGTAAATTGCGTCAAGTTTAGAAAAACTTTAACAAAATATTAAAAAATTTTAGTGGTTAAGGGAGGTAAAATTTTATTTAAGTAAAAAAATAAGTTAAAATACATTGAAATGTCTACAATGACGCGCAAAATTTATGAAAATTTTCTCAAAACTGTATAACTCGTGAAGTCTTTAAGTTATTATAAGTCTTATTTTTTGGGAGATAAAAAATAAAATTTATATTCATAAGAAACAACATACTTTAAGACTTCACGAATTATACGGGTTTGAAAAAATTTTTGCGCCGTAGTGTCAAAAAAATTTTAAACCAAAAATATTTTTAAATTGAAAGACAAAAATTTTCGAGTCAAAATAGTACTTAAAAAATATCCAATAAATTAAATTTTCTCTACTTTACAGCTACTCATTCTTGCTGATCAGGACTCCACTAAATTAAAAAATCGTAGTTAGCAAAATAAAAAAGAAAATAAAAAATATAAACAAATGTAAAGATTGCATTGCCGTTATGTGTGGTTAAATTTCAATTTATTTTTTTAGGATTTTTCTTGATAACTCCTTTTCCTTCCATTGTCTGGAAACAATGGTCAGATCTTTCTACTTAATTTTACCCCAGATACCTTTTCATTTATTGTTTTATACCAAAGCCCGGACTGGGGGGCATACGAAAATTGTGACTGCCGTATTTTAGATAAGCCTGACACGATCATTGACGAATGAGAAGGAAAAAGGAGCGTTGCCATAAATGTATAGAGTAGCGTAACGGGGAATTAAAAGAAAATTAAAAAAATTATTTTGACTATTATGCAAACTTTACATGCGCAACAAGCCTACCACAACAACAAGACTATCCTGTTCTCCATCAGCGTTTTGACATAAAGCCTATAAATAATTTTAATTTTCAATAGACCTAAATAATAATTTATAAGTAAAAATTAACCTTTAGCCTAATTCTTGAGCCCAAAGTAAAAGTTTTACGAGATCTTTTAGCACGGCGCCCAAAAATTTCCATTCGATTATTTACAGCAACTTTAGTTGTTTTGCTAGATTTATCAGCGCTAAAATGTTGACAAAATTGGTGAGATTGGCAATTATCAACCCCAGGCTCTAATAAAGATGCATTTTCACACTCTTCGCATATAGGCTAGAAAATAATTAACTTTTTAGAAAAATCTTTGAATATTTCGATTTTTTAGAAACACCGTCGTTTAAAAACTTCTGGCGTAAATTTCTTAAAATTTTTGGACAAATTCTAGTGGAATCTATTGCGGCTCCCTGTCCCACGTCACCTTACTTAATACTTCAACAAAACTCGAGCCGAGAACTCGTAATAGATTCCACTTGATTTTAAATTAAAATTACTTTAAAACTTATAACGTTTCCGTCTCTTGTGGCCGTTCGCCGGAATTTATCAGCACGTTCACTTTCTGAAACCGCGACAGCTAAAGGCTTGTCAATATATGAAGGTGGAGCATCTCTTCTAAAGATATTAATTGCACCCGACGGTCCAGATATCAACTTTAAATGTAAAAAATTTCTTTAATTTTAAAAAATTCAACCCAATCTACACGTTTCCCAACACGTAACTCAATCTGGGTTAACAATTCGCGTAAAGACATTGGACCATAAACCTGCCACACTCGTTTCGAAGGAATATCTGAAGGCAAAACTGGGCTTGGAGTGTTGCTCTGAATTCGATCCCCCATTAAAATTTTTAAAGCTTTATCATATCTAGAAAATAAGAATTATGGAAATTATTCTTTCAGCATTAAATCGGGAATCGAAAAATCAAAACTCATTAAAATTAGATAATAAACCGACTCCCGATTCTTTGCTTACTCTTGCCACCCTTAAAATAATTGGAAATCCTTTGAAATATAATTGACAAGATTTTAATCAAAGCCAAATCGAATATTTAAACTTTACTAGAAAAATAAATTGAAGAGATTGACGTCTATTTGTTCAAATACAACAATCTAGGAATTTTTGAATGATCAGATAAAAATGAAAATTTTCAAATAGACGTTAAATGATTACAATATTTGAGGAAATTTGAGGATATACTTTAGTATTATTCCAAGTTTATTACGGGCATCTCGGTTCTTACGGGGATCTCGATTCCGACCAAATAAGCCTCTCGGTTGTTCAATCGTCAAAAAAATAATGGAGATAAAGAAGGGTTAAATGACTATTTTGGTGGATACACGAAAAAGTCCGCAATAACTTTGGAATAACAGAAAAATATGAATGAAATATTCAATTTAAACCTTAAAATGGTGGTTTAATTTACTTAATAAAGGTTCATCATTTAAATAATATCAATAAAGACAAGAGATTCATCCATCTATTCAACTCAAGCACGTTCTCCACGGATCCGACGAGCCAATTGAATATCTAAAATTTTATAAATAATTTCAAGTCCAATTTATTAAAAAATAACCTTTTGGCATAATAGTGACACGCTTAGCGTGAATAGCACACAAGTTGGTGTCTTCGAAAAGTCCGACCAAATAAGCCTCAGATGCTTCCTAAATTTAAATAATTAGCTCAAAGTAGAAAGGAAATTGGGGACAATATAAACGAGGTGATGTTATTACCCCTTTCAACAAACTAAGGATAAGGTTTAAAAGAAAATACAGTTAATAGTATTCTCCTCTCTCCTATTTTTAAACCTAGAACGGGTCTATGAAATGGGTCTTTAAACAAATCCTTTAAACAAATCCTCATTATGTTGTGAATTTATGAAAATCGGAGGACCCAAAAAAACTACAAAGAATATAGCTGGTTAGAAACCGATCTTGTTGTGGGTAACGAATGGGGGGCTGCCACGAGTGCACCATAACTCAAAAATAAAGTTTAAAAAATGATGCGAACGTACACACTGATAGGAATTAATCGAAACCCAACCAGTCTAAACTTCATAAAATTAAACCTGAAGAGCTCCTATAGCAGCACTCTGAAAACGAAGATCGGTCTTGAAGTCCTGCGCAATCTCTCGAACAAGGCGTTGGAATGGCAGCTTGCGAATTAGAAGTTCTGTGCTTTTCTGGTATCGACGAATTTCACGAAGGGCAACAGTTCCTTTAAAATAAGTTTGAAAACAAAAATTTTTGAAAAAATAACCTGGACGATAACGATGAGGTTTCTTAACACCTCCAGTTGAAGGCGCAGATTTGCGAGCAGCTTTAGTAGCAAGTTGTTTACGTGGAGCTTTTCCTCCAGTTGATTTACGTGCCGTTTGTTTGGTACGAGCCATTTTTAGAAGACAAATAAGGCTTTCAAATAAGAAATATATAAAGACTTGCAGACAACTGAAAACAAATTTTAAGAGAAAATAATTTTTAAAAGAAAGTCAGAGATTTAACAATGAAAAATAATTCTCGCCTAAAAATAATTTCAAAAAAAAATTAAAAGCCAAGCGAGTTAATTAAAATTATCGATTTTATGTCGTGGGAAAATCTATTTAAGGAAAGCACATGTAAAACGCAATTAAAAGAGAGCTCTCGCTAAAAACCCCAAAAACAATCCTCGCTAACAACAAAAATCGACATAATGGCGTCAAAACATAAAAGTCTAACCGTCTGTCGTCTCTTTTATTTAATATTGTCTATCGCTGCCTCAAAAGCTTTTTCTAGTCAAATTTAAAAAGAGCTTAAAAATACTTTGAAAATAAAAATTCCAAAATAAAAATTCTCAATGTCTAAAAACTTAAAATGAAGAAGAAAGAAAACTAATAAAAAAATTATTGAGAAATTGAATAAATTTAACAATTAGCCGAAAAACACTTAAAATAACAAATTAGAAATTGCCTCAACCTCGAGAACAAAAAAACTTAAATGGAGTAAAGGAAAACAGAAATAGTGCAATAAAATTCGAAATTACACCATTTTGGCATATTCTTGGCTATCCGTTTGAGAACAAAATATCGAATCGTTAAAATCTCGACACGGCCAAAAAAGTATGTTCGAATTTAAAAAAAGCTTGGTCTCCTAGCTAGCTAGCTTGGTTTTGAGACCTATATTTCAGCCCAAAGCTGTTTCCGTGGGCTAATTTTGGTGTCATTCGACTCAGCTTCCTTAGCTCTTTCGATTGACAATAAATTATTCAAATCTAAAATCGCTCTGTAAAGTACAGTTGGCCTGAGTCCGTAAAATATGTCCGCAAAAACTAGTCAGGGATAACTCTCAAGTACCCTTTAAGTTTACCCAAAAACTTTTCACAACTTTAAAAGACTTTTTCTTAATTTTTTAGACCAAATATATTATGGTTAATGTTACTCTTGCAACTAAAAAACAAATTATTGAGGCCTCAGCAACTGGATTTCAAAGAAAAGGCAAAATTTTTAAAAAAATTGAAAAAAGGGATAAATCAAAAAAAGTTTCTAGTCGACCTGTTAAATATGAAAAAATTGAAGTTGCATTGCGTAGTTGGATTAAATCTTTGAAAAAACTGGAAATTCCACTGACTGGTCCACTTTTAAAGGTTATTTTTAGATTTCTTTAAACAAAATTATTGATATTAAGTAGGGTTGGATTTTTTCGGCCTCGAATCATTTTTTCGGGCCTCATTTTTATTGAACCGGACCGTTCGAGTCTTTTTCGGGTCAAAGTCCGGAGCCCGGTTCGATCTTTCGAACCGAACTGGGCCTCCAACCCTAATGTTAAGTAACAAAAAGGTACCTGTATGGACTGTTAACAGTTCCTCATTTTTTCTAGGGAGAATTTACAGACCAAAAAGCATCCCGTAAAGACAACAAAAATCATTTTTTTATCAAGCTGGCAATTTATAAACAATCTCTATAATTTATTTTAAAGGAAAAGGCAAAAGATCTAGCTCAAGAATTCAACATTAAAGACTTCAAAGCCTCTAATGGGTGGTTATGCGGATTTCAACAACGATATTCTATTTCTTTAAAAAATTTCTACAGAAAACAGCCTATGGAATTGGGTGAAGTTGAAGAATTATTAAATGCTGAAATGTGTTGTTCAGAGGACGAATTGGTAATAGTCGGGTTTGTGAGACCCTTTTTTCTCATTTTTTCTATTTCGAATCCTGGAGAGGAATCTAAATTCAATTTTGAAATTAAAATTTTATGGCTAAAGTGATACTTCTCTTCTAGCTCGAATTCTGGGTAGGGATTAGGAATAAATAAAAGTTCAAGTAGATAGACCACAAACCCACAAATCTCGAAAAACCGCTTCTTCATTTTTTCTAGGGTGATGGAAGCGTTAGAAAAAAGGGTCACACAAATTTGAATATTTCTTTTAAAATTTTTAGTGTTTAACAGGGTTGCCGCCCGAAACCCGATACCCGGCCTTTTTTTGTACCCGAAACCCGATACCCGAAGATTTTTTGTACCCGCGGCAACCCAGGTGTTTAATATGTATTATAGAATGTGTCAAGGCACTGACTTGAAAATTTTTTAAAGTCACAATTTTAGTTTTGTTCTATCCCATTTCCCTTTTGATTTTTGGTTGGTTTTTAACCTCTTTACATTCCTGCAACCTAAACATGGCTATATTTTTTCAGCTTCTAACAAAAAAATTTTTTAGGAAAAAGAAAACGGAGAATTGGAAACAAGGGAAGAGAGTGGCCAACATTTATCTCCAAAAAAAGAGGTTGAAGAAATGATTACTGAACCTTCATTTATTCAACTTAAAGTCAAATCGCCTCTCATTTCAATTGAACAAGCAATAGAATCATTAAAACTTCTCTCAAGATATGTTTGGCAAAATCCAAATGAAGAAATGCAAAAAATGTGTGACAGATTTAATGAATTGTTGGCAGACAAAAGTATTATAAATTAAGAATTTATTCAATTTTTTGAAGGATTTTTGGCTTATTTTTCATTTATTTTTTGGCTCTACTGCAGTTTATGAGTCCAATGAAAAGCTTATGTGTCCGGTCAACCTTTAAGAATAGGGTTGCCAAAATGGACCGACTCGAACCGAAAGATCGAGTCGGGCCTATATGTTTGGCCCATAAAAGACTTGTACCGGCCCGACTCGATAAAAACAACCCCAAAAAATGCCTCGACCGTCGGCCCGACTCAAAAACGGCAACCCTATTTAAGAATGCAATCAGAGTCATTTGAAAATTTACTCAGTTCGGACGGTTCCCTCGTCGTTGGGTTTTGGACCAGATACGTAAATTTATCTCTTTTACGAATTTTCAGCATTGAAAATCTGACTTATCCCCCTACTTTCCATTGGACTCATAAAATGTGATTGGACTCTTAAACTGCAGTAGAGCCAATTTTTTTTATATCTCAGCTCGAACTCTAGTACATTTTATTTTTGTTAAAATATTTTCTTTAATTGTCACACATTTTTGAGATATTTTCTTCTCTTTGTCTAAATAAAATTTTCAAAATTATAAAATTTATTGTTCACGCATCTTTTATCGGTTATCTATTACAAATGTCAGACTTTTTATTCTAAAAATATTTTTAAAAAATAATTTTGTTAAAAAAATTTGAATTTTAGTAATTTTCTATGAATATTTTTAATTGTATATTATATCACTTTTTTAATTTTTTTTTAATTTTAAATTAAGGCTAACTATTTTAACACCAAAAACTAACACACAAAAATGGCTTTAACTTATTGTGGAGACAAGGCAGGAATGGCTTCTCTCGACATGAATCGAATTAAAAGAATAATTGCGGATAATACTGGACAGGACTTTCAATATCATGAAAGACAAGTCGAAAAACAAGTTGAAGAACGGATTAAGAATAAATGTGAAATGCTTTTTTATGCAACTAATGAGCAATTAAAAAGGCTGGAAGAGGAGGTTTAACTTTTAAATTTTGAATTTTTTTATAAATTGGGGTTTTCGTTGGGTTTTCCGGGTGGTTTTTTTTTCTAGGATTCGAGCAGTGATCCTGCCGACCCAATTCCCGAAAATCTGGAATTCCCGACGATTTTTTGGTTCGGGATCCCGAATTCCCGAAATCGGGAATTTTTTTAGTGGACAGGATCCCTGGTCTGTGGTTCATCATTTTTTCTTTCATAGCTTACTTAAGATCCTCTTATCAGCAATCCCGAATACTTGAGGTTATTGCCTCTCATTTTTTATTTTCCAAAATTGTGTTAGTTTCGGGAATCCCTTCAACGATTGACCACTTCTGTATTTTTCTTAGGATCGAGGGATTCGAATTTCACCAGCGAAAATTAGTTTTTTTTTACCCTACTGGAAAATATAAAGATTTTAACTCCAACTTTGGGAAACTATTTTTAACCTTCTCCCTTTCCTAAATTATATTTTCTATAGTAGTTTTTGGGTTGGTGTTTTCAGTTAATAACTATTGTCCAAATTCTTTCTATTCTTTTTTTTCAAAGGCTGACAGTGTAGCTATCAAAATGGAAGAACATCGCTCCATAAATAGATTTTGGGTTCATATAGATATGGATGCTTTTTATGCTTCTGTGGAATGCCGCGACAAACCAGAATTAAGGACTGTTCCAATGGCTGTGGGTGGTGATGCTATGTTGGTATGTGGATTTTTTTGATTCGAGGGATATTAGTTATAGCAAGAAAAGGTTTGATTTGAGGATTGAAGTTTGGAATCCGATTAAGGGAAGGGATCTGCTTTTTTTGTTAAAAGAGTTTGTAAAGTAGAGGAGACTTTTTTTTGGGGAGAAATTCTTTGTGAGAATTTTTTAAAAATCTTTAAAAATTTCTAATTTTTTCAAAAAACATTTCAGGCAACTTCAAACTATTTGGCACGCAAATTTGGTGTAAGATCAGCAATGCCAGGGTTTATTGCCAAAAAATTATGTCCAGACCTTGTAATTGTTCCTTGCGACATGCACAAATACATTCGGGAAAGTAATATTGTAAGAAGTATATTTCAATATTACGACCCAAATATGTTTATGGGAGGCTTGGATGAGGCCTATTTGGATTTGACTGATTTTGTTGGACAAAGAATATTTCCAGGTTTTTAAATTATTATTTTTCGAACAAAGTATTTGGTAAACTTTAATTTAGTAGTTTAGTTGTCACTAATTGCTTAAGTGACACTCTATTTAAGGCCACCTCATACAAGAGCGTAGCCAGGGGGGCTTCTGGGGCTAAAGCCCCCCCCCGAAATGGGGAAAAGGGAAAAATTTGAGGAGAGGATGTAGTAAAAAAAGTGAAATTTTTTCGTCTAACTGTTCAAATTCAAAAAATTTTCGTCTTCGGCGCTGAAAACAAAAAATCCCACAAAAAATCAATTATTCGAGAAAATTTTGGCAAAATAATTAATAAAAATCTGCTGCTAGTCTACAACTTATACATATCTTTTACAGAAAAATCCTATTAATTTGTCCAAAAATTTTAAATTTTTTAGTAAAATGCAAAAGAATTCGTTATACTGGTGATTGTATTTGTCGGCTTCCTTTAATTCCTTCTAATCAAAATATTTCTGAAGATGCTGAACGTGTTGTAATAATTTGTAATCGTTGCAACAAGGAAAGAATTGCAATAATTGATTATGTTGTTTTTGGTACTGGATTGGATGATATAGTTAATCAAATACGTTTTGAAGTTGAACAATTGACTGGATTGACTTGTAGTGCTGGTAATTTTTTTTGAAATTGATTTTTTTGGTTAATATTCAAAATGAGCCTTTACTAGGGTTGTCGGTTTCACAAAATTTTTCGGTTAATCGAAACCGAACCGAAAATCTTCGGTTTTTCGGTTCGGTTTGAAACCGACAAACCTAGTCTGCAAATATTTATTTTTAATTTTTATAAATAATTTCGAATTACCTTTTCTTCACCAATGTATTTAAATTCCTTTTGTAGTCATGGACAGAATTTTTTCTGAAACGGACAACCATACTAGATCAATTTTAAAAAATATTCTCTAGAAAATTTTTCTCTTTAAATTAATTTTTTAAAGGAATAGCAACAAACAAAATGCTTGCCAAAATCTGTACCGATTTAAATAAACCAAATGGCCAATTTTATTTGGAAGCTGATCGTTACAAAATTATTGATTTTATGAATTCTCTAAAAATTCGAAAAGTTCCAGGAATTGGGCCAAAATGTGAGGCTATTTTGAAATCTATTGGAGTGGAAAAATGTTCAGATTTGTTTGAAAAAAGAGCAAAAATTCGTTATATATTTACTAATCTACATTCTGAATGGCTTTTAAAGGTTTCTTTGGGTTTGGATGCCTGGGAAATTGATAAAGGTTGTTTTCTTTCTTCATTTTAGAGGCGCAAACGAGAATTGAAATTTTGGGAATTTTTACAAGGAAAGGTTGCGAGGTGTCTGACTTAAAAACGGTCGAGACCGGGCTCATTCGATAGAGAATGTGAACAAAAACGGCTCACATTGCTAGAAAGGGCACATTCTTTATCGAATGAGCCCGGTCTCGACCGTTTTTAGGTCAGACACCTCGCAACGTTTCCTTGTTAGCATAATTTTTTATATTTATCATCTAGCTATAATTTGGGTAAATATGGGGGGGGGGGGCTATTTTGTTAGAATTTTCAATCAAAAATTTTTTAAATTAATTTTAGGAAGTAACCAAAAAAGTGCGGGTATTGGAAGAACTTTTGCTCCAAAACAAAATTTTACGGAACTCTGTCAAATCCTTTACAAACTTTGTCGTAAACTTATAAAATCATTGCCTTCTTCTAGAATTGTTGGTGGACGTTCAGCTACATTATCTGTAAGAAAACTTTCTCTAATTTTTTACTCATAAATTCTTTAAAAAATTCTATTTCATGATAAGCTTTGATTTGTTTGATTTTTTAGAAATCTTTACATCTAAATTTGAAGTTTGGACTATTTTTTCTGATTTCGGGGAAGGCAGTGGGTTAGGGAAGTCGGAAACTATTTTACAAATTTGTCCTTATACTGAGCTACTGGAGGGCTGCTTTTGTCTTCTTTTAATGGATCTTAACTCCCCGCCTTTTTAACTGCTAGTCAGCTTATCCCTTAATTTTTCTGTGTCGGGCTAACTCATGAACAACTAGTCAAGGAACGACCAACTCGTGGAAGTTTTTTAAAAATATTCTGATTTTTAAAATAATTCCGATTTTTAAAATATTCCAATGATTTGGTCATTCCATGAGTAGGTTGTTCCTTACTTGCCTTTTCCTTAACTTGTCGTTCCTTGACTTGTCTGTTCCTTGAGTTGGTATTTCTTCAGTTAGCTCCCACCCAAATTTTCATTAATTTTTTCCAAAATATTTTTTCATTTATTAAGATAAAATTTGCAACATTTGATTACATTACAAGATGTAAATCTGTTGATTTTGTTATTCAAAATGTTGAAATGCTTTACCCAATAGTTGAGGGCCTTTTAAAGAAGGAATTGGTCGGGAGAAATGATGCGGTAATTAAAAAATAAATTTTAATTAAAAAAATTTCCAAAAAAGATTCGTTTATTGGGTGTTCGCCTTTCTGATCTTATTTTTGATGGATTTAATTTTGATGAAGAAAATGGAGAAGAGGAAGAGTTACAACAAGGGGTGTCAAATTATTTAATTAAATTTTAGGGACTGGATTTTTCTGGTTAAAAGAGACGAGGGATTTTTAGAGAGTTTTTCGAATAAACAAATTATTTTCTGTTAAATCCGGTCCCAATCTTTTATCAGGCTTTGCCAGTTGTTTTTTTGAATTTTTTGATGTTTGAAACTTTAAACATTTTTAATTTCGATCTCGATAAATTATTGAAGCTTGGACTTTTTGTTATTTTAAATGATGATAGTAAAAAGATTCACATTCTATCAAGTCTCTGATAAAGCCTGATATTAAGTTTTTTGTGGGATTCACTTGTCAATAAATGGAAATAATTTAAGTTCAGACCGGTCGTTTTTAGAGGTGCCGGTTAGAGGTACCAGAGATACAGTTCGATAAGTGAGGGTGTTGAGGAAAAGGTTGAGATTTAAGATCTATAAAAGCTTTTTTTCACCCAAATTTTCATCCAATTTTCACTCGCTGGTAGGACGTGTTGATCGAAACTCCTAGCAATAATAAGTGTCAGTAGGTTACAGGTTCGTTTCCTGTCCAAACTTTTTATTTAATTGTTTTGCTGGGTCTGTCATTAAAAAAATCTGAAAATTCCATTTAAGAAGGAAATATTAAAAGAAAACAATTAACAACAACAACAATTTTACAACAAAATTTACATAAATTTATTAAACCAATTAAATTACATAGTAATTTACCCATTTTGGATGAAGTAGGTAATGAAAAAATTGAAACAACAAGTAATGAATCTGAAGAAGATGAATTAAATGATAGTATTGTTGTTATTTCTTCAAGTGGAGATGGAGCTAATGGTGAGGAGGAAGAAGGGGGGGGGGGATTGGGGAATTATAAATATTTTCTGGATCTTCGCTGGAATTTATGGTTACCCGGAATTTAGGGAATGTCTGAGTGTCTTTTCCAAGCATCCCCTCTTCCGCCGTCCTTTTATTTCCCAATTGTTTTTTAATCTTGTCGAAATTTCTATTCCGAATTTTTTTTTCTAGCAAATTTTTAGTTCTAGCGAAATTATTTTGGGTTAATTTTTTGGACAAATGCAGTCTCTAGGAGAAAATTCCTTTGATTAGTCTCTACTCCAATACCCTTTCCTACTATGAAGGATTTTTTTACAAAAATATTTTTTTGTATAGAAATTTTTTTAAATTTATTTTTTCCCAGTTTCTGTACAAGTCGACGCAATTTTGGACAATTCTACATTCAATGAATTTCTCGAAGATGACGAAGATATAATTATTGTTTATGTCCAAAACGATTCTCAAAACAACAAAAATAACAAAAAAAGAGAAGAAAAACAATTAAAAACAACAAAAAATTCGAGAAAATCAAAAAATAATTCTTTAACAAAAATTAGAAATTTACATGTTTATTTCCCTACCATTAGACAACAACAAACTAGTAGACACAAAAATTAATAAATAATTGAATGTTGGACAGTAAAGCCTTACTATAAGATATTCCCTTGGAGATGAAGAAATTAATCTTGTAATGAGGGGTATCTTAAATAGAGGAGATCAGTTCTTGGTAGCGGTTGACACGGCTCAGTACTTCCGCAGTATCGGCTTGGTATTTTCAGTAAAAATCCATTTTTTCATTATTTCGTGGCTAACAAAATTAAAAAAAACGTATCTAATATTGAGTGTATCTTGTAGAGAGGTTTTACCATACTAATCTTTTCCCAACTATTATTTGTAAATAAATTTGTAAATTTTATTTTAAAAATTAGTATTGAGTGCAAAAAGACTTTAAAAAGCCAAAATAAATAGTAATTGGAAAACCTCGATTTTACGTACACCCCTGAGGAAATTGTAAAATGGAAAGAGATGCTTTGAGCAGATTCCCTCACCTATTGGTCAACCATATATTGTTAATAGGTAGGATTGGGTGTCTGTAAAATCGAGGTTTTTGTTCTATATTTAATTCAAAATTCGTCATGTTTTCCACTCTTAACTTTCTTTCCATAAACCCCATTAATTAAATTAAATTCCTGATGTGTTTCTGTTAATTTATGCCAAAAATGTAACCTTTCCCATTCAGTATTATAAACATTTTCTTTAATTAAAGGATTAATTCCATTAATAAATAAATGGCGGGAAGGATCATTTTTTGTTGCTTTATTCCAATTAATTGTTGTATTTTTTGAAGTTTTTATTTTTGGATTTCTTTAGAGAATAAATTAAAATTAAATTTACATTTACAGAAAGCTTTCTAACAGATTAGCAAAATTCTATCCTAGTGACGGTTGATGTACTCACTCTTTGGATACCCGTTCTTATTAGAGCCCGGCCGGAGAGGTCGGTCGGTATTTTTTCGATAGATATCGAGAAATATCGAAAGAATATCGTACAGAGCCGGGATCTAGTTCTTATATACCCCTTCTCTCTTATCCTCAAATTTCGATCTTTCCATTTTATATTATATAAAATATTAAATCTAAAATAACAAACCCTTTAATAACAAAATTAACAATAATTTCCCTCAATAAATTAGCTACTTCTTTTGCCTCTTCACTTTTAGGTGCAAACTTTCCAATTCCAAAAATTAAATCATGGTCTAACATATGAAATGCTTCTTTAAATAAATTAATTAGTACTATAATATTTCTTTTCTCCCCATTAAGTTTTCTTTGGAGGAAGTCCTAGAGTGAGAGAGATTTATTCTAAAAGAAGAGGTGATGGATAAATTTTGATATTTTAATTTTATCTTGGTGTTTATGAGGTGACTTTGACTTAAAAATAAATTTCCCCCTCATTTCCCCTCCTTTTCCCCACTCAATTCCTACACCATTTCATAACCAGATATCCATATAATCCACCTCTTAACCCCACTAATTTACCTCTAACTTCAACCCATTCTGGAAAAAGCGAAGATTCTTTCCAAGCAAATTCATAAAAATAAATTGGCCAATTAAATTCAATTTTAAGTCTTAATTCCCAAAATGCTGGGGCTATATAATGCAAATCACTTAATAACTGTTAAAATAATTAAAATAAAATACCACCCAAAATATCACCACTAAAGCTTAGTGGTGATCTTTAGGGTCTAATTATAAATTAAATTCCTTCTTACCATACTGTATCTTTCCAAAAAGAAATTATTGTCTTTAATTCTATCATTAATTTTATATTCTTTTGTGTAAAATGAGATAATCTTTTCTTGAACAATTTTTGCAATTTCTTCTCCAAAATATTTATTTTTAGCAACCATTTCCCTGACAATATGGTTAAAATCGTTCTGTCCAAAATGCTTAATTCTTTCAAGGGGGACAGAAAATTGGGTTACACTGCTGTTTTTTGATTGAATTAATGCTTTAATAATTGAAAAAAATTAAATAATTTTAAATAAAATTGGAACTCATTATAAGATTGTTGTTGTTGAGAGGGTTGAAGGATTCTGGAATATCCCCGGACATCCTGTACTCGATATCTGAACAGAAAATTTTGGATGTCCAGATTTTTATCAGATCCGGATATCTCCTTTCCTAGTGTTACTTTTGTGTTATTTAATCAGTTAGCTTTGATAACCATAATTATAGTCTTGCTCTTCGATTTCACCAACCTAGATTTGTATCATCTTTATTGGTTTATTTTTGTGCTAAAACGTAGCTACTAAATATTTTTCTCTTATTCCTCGGATACTACCACTAAGGTTAGCGGATACATGGAAATCTTCGGATATCTGGATCCGAACCGAAATTTTCCGGATCCGCCAACTTTAACTACCACAGCAAAAACTGTATTGAAAAATTGTTTCTTATAATGAGGTACTTATATCGAATTTGGTGTATCTTATAATGAGTTGCGATTTTTAAGCATTACTATAAGCCAAAGAATCCATTGTACAATGCCCCATTATTGTTGGCTTTGGAGTTGATTCTTCAATTAAACTAATTAGATCTTTTGGAAAAAAGTCGTTATCTGATGTTCTTGTTCCAAATTTTGCAAAATTTACGTCAGCTCTAGATGGGCCCTGTAAATTAAACAAAATATTTTTTAAATTAAATCAAAGATAGATATGTGAATATTTTAAGCTTCATGACTTTATAAATTTTCTCAACTAGCTTAACATAATCTCCAACTTATCCTTGGGAAACAACTAATAAGCAAGGTAATGCATAGTATAGGCTCTATATAGTACATAATAGACAAAAAAGATCATTTGTTCTTCATGCAGCTGAGAGTTACCAAGAAAGTCTCAATTAGAGATCGGTACGGCGGGATTTTACGGAATCCTGGGTTTTTAGCGATGAACGGGATTACTGGTACTCCAGGATTGATGGGATTAATCCCGCGGTTAACTTCGATTAACTCCAGTTGGAACCTTTCAAGCTCAATCCTGTTACGGGATGTGATCTAGTCTCAATCGTTTTTTATGAATTCACTTTTGGAATTCACTTATGCCTGCAATATCCGCTAATCCAAATACAAAACCACAATAAAGGACGAATGAGTAAAAAACAAACAATTATCTTCATAGCTTCATGTATTTCCTCAACACTTTTAGAACGTAAACATTCTTTTAACTTTAAAGATTTTGACTTATTCCATTCCTCCTCCTCCTCCCCCTCCTCTAAACAATTTAATTCTTTCCCCAAAATTTTTGTTTCGTTAAAAACAAAAGTTCCACTTTTTGTTTGTCTAAAAGGCGAGCCGCTTAATTGAATTGCTTGTTTAAATAAATTTTTCGAATGAGGGGAAATAGTTAAAGAAGAAACAGCTACAGCTCCAGCAGAATAACCAAACAAAGTTATTTTGTTTATATCCCCTCCAAATTTTTTAATTTCTTTATTTATCCATTCTAATGAGGACAATAGATCCCATAGACCTAAATTGCCTTTAAAAAAATTTTTTTTCAAGATTTTTTATTAATTTAAATATGCCTGGAAGTATTTCATCTCCTGTTGAAGCAAAACCTTTTTAATTAAAAGAAAAATATTAATTTCCTAGTTGTAATAATTGGGGTGAAAAAGGGAGGGAGGCAAATGAAGAGGACGGACAGGAGGGACGGATTGGACGGGCAGGAGGAGAAGGAAAGGAGGGACGGCAGAAGGGTCTAATCTGTTTCGAAATCTCGATTCTCGAAGATTTTTTTTGTTTTGAAACGCTCTGGTCCAAGTATTATAATTTAAACAATTAAAGGTCTAGTCACTCAAGAGTAAACCTAAACAACTCCTCTTAACCCCTAAACTTATCGCTACAATGGACCAAGTCAATATCTCGTTCAAAAATCTGTCATGGAGACTTTCCACTATCTCATATCTTAGAGCCGGTCTCTAGCAATAACTAACCTAAAAATGGGTTCTAATAGTGTCTTCTGATGCCAACAAAAGTATTTTGTCTGGAATTATCCACAAAATCGAAGAATAACCAAATAAGATTAGATTATTTTGTTTGTATTCCCACTTATCCCTTTAATATATATTTAAATTCTACCTAAAACTCCTAACCGATATTGAACAGTCACAACAACAATATTTTGACTAGCAAAATACTCTCCCAACAATTTATAATCATAATTTCTCGCTGTTCCAACTTCAAAAGCTCCCCCATGGATTATTAATAAAACTGGATAAAGTAGTTCTTTCTGACAAAAAAATTTTTAATTGAAAATTAATTGAATTACAGATGTATCTACACTATAAAATACCTCATTTGGACTGAACTTATAACAAAGTATATCTTAAATAGAAGGTATCGCTTAAGCAAAATTAAAAAGTATGTATAGCGGTGCTTTGACAGTAATATAAAGCCAGTATCGGTGTTAGTATAATCGTATCATATTAGCTTGGCTAGTCCCTAACCTATTTTGTAATTTTTTATTTAGGATAAACTGTTATTCTTGTGAACGCCATGTCAAATTCGGACACACCTCGGAATGTATAGATAGGCTAAATTTTCGCTTTCGCCTTCCACTTTTTAAAATTCAAAATTATCCAGCCCTAATATTATGTCTATTTATAATAAGATTTGACTGTAATTTAAAAATAAAAAATTTCTTTACATTATCTTCCTCTCTATTTGGCGATATAATATTTAAATACAAACAATCTTCATCAAAAGGAACATCTAAATTTAAAATTTCATCACCAATTGGAAGGGCGTGTGGAACACATGCTGGAGAATATTCTTTTGTTGGTTTAATTCCTTCCCATTTTGAAGGGGGTTTGGGTTTCTAAAGAAGAAAAGAAATAAATTTTTAAAAATAATTTATAAACTATTTGAGGATATAAAACAGTATTTTTAGTGCTGCAGGCATAATTTTTTTGATAATTTTATGTTTTAATAAAACAATCACAAAGGCTTTTTTTTAACAATTTTATGTGTATAATAATAAGTATTAGTAGAGAGTAGTTTAAATTCGGTTTAGTGTCGCGAAAGGCGACAATTAGAATTTAATTTCTTTAAGTTTATTTTTTCTAAAATTTATTTTTTCTGTAAAATTCCAATCTCTATTTTTACCGCACCTGCTGTCTAGGACATTCTTTTATGTTTAAGAATTTATATATTTTTTAACTTATTTAAATTGGTTGTTCCTTTCCTTTTTTATCGTAAACAATTTCGTTCCTTTTCTTTATTCAGTTATTTTTCAATCTTCAATTTTGTCGCACCTGCATTTTTGTTTTATCTATTTCCACACCCATTTTTTCGCTCTACTTAAACTTTGTCAATTTCCCTTTCGGGGTTCCAGTTCTTGGTTCTTTGGTTGGCTCTTACCTATTGCTTTGGCTTATTATTGTTGGCTCGCTTTATTATTTTTTGTTGGATTTAATTTAATTTGGAAAATAAACATTATTTAATTTGTTTGGAAGTGTTTTGTTTGAATTAGGCTCTTAGGCAAAACCTTGGAAACTTGTCCCTAGGCTTCTACTACATATTTTTTGGTGCAACGGCCGGGAAACCATCCTGGTCACCGTGTGGAACTTATTGCCTCTTTTTTTGGAAATTATTGCTTTGGACTAAATAAAATTGGATTGCTATAAATAATGGCTGCCTGTATTCGACGCAACATTACTGCGGTTCTGAAGGGCATACAAACCTACACTAGAGAAGCAACGCAATTAATGGGTAAAGATATGGACGAAGGTATTTGTGAGAGATTAAGGTCAAAGAAGCTAGACTTGGAATCTGCCATAGCACGAATTGTTGAACTGGACACGCAGTGGACTGATATTATAAATAGTCTTGATCCAACACAAAGAATGGCTGAAGAATCTATTTACATGAATTTCCCGCATGGAGAAACTGGTGGATTAGAAGACGGACAAGAGGTTCCTCTCTCCAAAAGGCATTTTTTGGATCAAAATGAATTTGCTCGTGAAGTCCTAAACATGGTTGCGGAAATGCTTAACACCCTGGAACGCTCCCGAACCAACTCTCGTCAGTCTGCGCTGAGTGAGAGTAATCATAGTGTGGAATTGAATGAGGAAACAAGTAATGCTAGAACTAATCATCTGGACGCTAGGATGAATAATAATGGAATCAATAATTTGGATGCTAGGGCCAACAATTCTGGGAGGAATAATGCAGGATTACCTGTGTACCACGCACTGCAACCGCCTTTTTTGCAACCACGAGTGAATCTTCCGCCACTTCACTTGCCGCATTTCTCTGGTGACTCAAAAGACTGGCCAACCTTTTGGCAAATGTTTTCGTCTACGATCGATAATGAACCAAGCTATAATAATGTGGTAAAAATGAACTACCTGCTATCTCTCTTGGACGGACCAGTTCTAAACGTGGTAGCCGGTTACCTTCCAACAAATGAGAATTACTCGCGTGTGGTGGAACTATTAAAAACTCGATATGGGGACTCAAAAGTATTGAAGGAAGCGTTGCAATCTGAACTGTACCATCTTGCGCCAGCCAATGACTCCGTAATAGGACTTCGGAAATTTTTGGATGTAAATGAGCGTGTATGTCGGCAACTGAGTGATTATGGGATCCAAGACGATTCATGGATTATCTTTGCTCTGAAGGAAAAGCTACCCAAAGGGATACTAGCCAAATTGATTGAAAAGGAGAAAATGGCAGGAAAAACTTGGAAGATTGAAAATTGGAGATCAGAACTTAACCTGCTCATATCAGTAAAAGAGGAAGTGCAAAGATGTACGGTTAATAAGGAAACCGAAGGACCGCCGCGAAGAGAAAGACGTCCATTTTACCAGCCAGAGCCTACTCGTTCATTTCCAGTGGCTAACCAACCGAGATCGTCCTGTTGTTCTTTGTGCCAAGGAAACCATTTTCCGAGCGAATGTGCTAAATATGGAAATACGCAAGCCAGAAAGGACCGTTTATTGGAACAGAACCGTTGCTTGAAATGCTTAAGAG